TCTTGCCTGAGGTCATTCATGTGGCTGGAGTCAGCTGGCAGATTAGCTGAGGGCTGGTTTTCCTGTAGCTAGGAAATTAAAATACAGTAATGCCCAGTTTAATTTGAATTCAAGGTGAACAATTAATATTTTTAAACTATCAGTATGTCTCATACAATATTTGGAAAACACATACACTAAAAATTCATTTGATGTTCAACTGAAATTCACATTTAACTGGAATGCCTATGTTTTATCTGAGAATTCTTTCTAGGATTCCTCGGCTGCAACAGTTCATCTCTTTTCTACATAGTTTCATCCTCCACAGGTTAACGTGGGCAGCTCCACATGTGGTGGCTTCGGAGCATAAGGAGTGCAAGCCTCACTGAAAATGCTCTGTCCAGGCCTCCCTTTTTGTCATGTTTCCTAGCATTAAAACCGGCCAAAGCAAACCACATGGCCAAGCCCAGAGTCAATGTGGGAGGGGACTATACAATGGCATGAATGCAGGGAGGCATGGTTTATTGAGGGTCATTATTGTAGTATTTTCTTAGATTATCTTCTAATTGTTTTTCTTCCCTTACTTGCTTTTATTACACCCTCTAGTTTTTCTATCCTTTCATTTTCTAACCTCTCAATTCATTTTCCAAGTCTCCTTTTATTCATGAGTTCATCCACTACCCTTAATCCTCTATCATACTGATCCACTTTGGCCTGGTTAATCAGGGCCTATTGTTTGACCGTCACCTTAAAAGTAACCTTTATTACTTTTCCAAGTTGGGAATCACTATTTCCTGGATTCCATATTTGCTTTTCCATTGATTACTATCTCATTTTGTAGGAGTACATGTTCAAACAATTTGCTAAGGAAAAGTTTACAGGAGGTAAACTTTAGGAGTAATTTCAGTCCTAAGGCCATCTTTACTGTCACTATATATCTGCTTGATAGTATGTTTAGGAATAGAATACTAGAGAAAATCATATTCTCTAAGGATTTCAAGGCATTTATACATTGACATTTATCAGCAAGTATTATGACTAGGAAGCCTGATGCCAGATTGATTTGTAGGTGACATTCCCCTTATTCTGGGAAGATTTTAGGGTCTCCTCTTAATCCTTATTATCCTAAAATTAATTGAGAATATGTCTAGGTGAAGGAATTTTAAAAATTAATTATATTAGGTACACAATACATCTTCAGTTTTTATTTTAAAAAGAGAAATACAGAGAAAAAACAATGAGGAACAATGTATACATCATCCATAATAAGCAATGTTAATGCTTTCTATTTGTTTATAATTTTTTCTTAATAAATAAAATTAAACTGCATTTATTGTTGAAGTCACATTGTCCTCCAGCTGTTTCCAGAGGCAACTGATATTGCAAAACTGATGCACTTCTTTCAGTGTCCATTTTTAATATTGCTATAAATATATGTATCCAAAATAACATCGTTTCATATGTTTAAAATTATATAAATGGCATTATACTGTATCGTTCTGCAAATTAATTATTTCATTCAACATTAGGTTTCTGAAAATTGTCTAGCCTGATATATAGATATCTAGTTCACTCATTTTAATGTCTTATAAATTCTATTGTGTTATTTACATAATATAATAGAATTACATCTTATGACATTATTTACTCAGAAACCTTCAGCAAACACCAATCTTACACTGAAATATCGACCATTAAAATCAGAAACAAGACAAATATGTGCTGTGTCATCAATACTGTTTTGCTAGAGGTCCCTGACAGTGCAATGAGATAAGTAAAAGAAATAACTATAAACTATTGAGTAGAAAGAGATAAAACGGTCATAATTTGTAGAGTACATCTATCTACTTAAGAAGTCAGAAGGAAAAAATGAGACAAAATAATAAAATTAATAAGAGAGTTCATCAAAAGAGTCTGACTGTAGAATGACAATGCTACATCAACAGCTTTTATAGAAACCTGCAATAATTTTTTTTGAGTAAACTTATTTTCCAATGGAACATGGATACATAAGCACAAAATTCAAGAGGCGCAAAGACAATAAAGTAGTTTATTGATCTTTTCCCTTGTAAATCTAATGTATAATACGTTACAGGAGCCAAAAAAGCAAAGCGACCCTATCTTTGTGCACCATTCCACAGATACTCCACACTATGTTAGGAAATGTATAATGACATAAAACACTTTATGTTACAGGCTATACATTATTTACAATTGTATATACAATACACTGTTCTGCAACTTTTCTTGCACATACATGCTAATTTGGGAGAGGACAGAGAACAGTGCCCAGTTTGCCATGGTGCAAAGGTCAGCAGGATGAGAGTTTCTAAGCTTCCTGTGGGCCGGAATATGTCCTGAGAACACACCTGGAGCAGAGGCCAGCTCACAAGCACCAGCACAGCCCTCCCCACCAACACACACACGCGCGCGCGCGCACACACACACACACACACACACACACACACACAGGATGCAGTGTCCGAGACTGGACATGCCTGCCTGGGAAGCTGGATGTCTGCAACCTTGTGTGCACTTACCTGGAGCGCGGGTGGGGGTGGGGGTGGGGGTGGGGGGTTGTGGGGGGTGGTAAACCACAAAATCCCTAGGAGAGGCAGCAGGCTGGGGAGGGCACCCGAAGTTGGTCTGGAAGTGAGTCACTGCCTACAGGCACCAAATGAAAACGGGCTCATGAGATAGATGAGAAGCAAAGCCCAGGGCCCTTTCTGGAAGTGGAAGATAGCCTGTGGCGGCAGTTCTAGATTGACACAAGAGACGGGCTCAGGCTGGGGAGGCACCATCAAGGCAAGGCACTCCCCACAGAAGGTGGCAAGCTCAGCCTTGCTGACTTTTCCCAATGTTTGCCCCGGGGAAGCCCAGAAAGACTGTCTTTGGGTTGCAGCAGGCAGGTATCTATTGTGATTGGCGGCTCAGGGCTGTATTTATGTTTGCGTTACACATGGAACGGGGACACCGGTGCCCTTGCCTGTGCTGAGACGGAGGGACAAAGGGAGGTGCTCTTGCCGTGCGTGCCTAGGAGGCAGGCATGCTCCTGACAGTCAAGGGATGAGGGGCAGGACGGAAGGGCTGTGAGTGAGTGCTTTCGAGAGGGCAGTGCCAGAAAATGAACAGAAGGGTTTTGACTTGGGCCAAGCCCATGCCGTGGAGACACTTGGACGCTGATGGGCTTTCCTGTGACAGAATTTGCTCAGGGGGTGAGCAGAAAGCTTCTGGGGCGCTCCTTGAGTTAGGACTCAGCTGTGGCCTCACTGTGTCAAGTGCCTCAGAGATGGAGGACAACTGCACACAACGGGAAACGTGGTAGTGTGCAGGGAAGTAGGGAGGTGCATGCTAATTCCAGACCACAGGCTAGGAGGATGCCTTTGTGCTCAAAGAGGCTGAGCAATGAGGGCTCACTGAAGACAGCAATGGAGGAGCAGGCTCCACTGGGAAAAGTGGATGAGGAGCTGTTTGCAGGGAAATCCCCTTTGAAATCAGATTGTCCAGCCAAACTGTGATTGGCTTGGGAGAAAGGGTGGTCCTTCTGACTGACAGCTCTTAGGAACCAAGGCAGGGCTCCCAGAGCCAGCCAGCCAAGGAAGCCCCAGCAGTGGGGGAGGGGGGTGGGTGTCACAGCAACTGCAAGTCACTTGTTGGCCATCCCAGGCACCAGGGCCTGGGAAGAGGCCTGGTCCCCATTCCAGCTGGGAGGGTTTCCCAGAGTTGGTCGGGGGACCTGGCGGGCACTCAGGCCCTCTGACCAGCATGGACTGCTGGGCAGATGGTACAAGCAGGAAAGTTGTAACCCACCTGGAAACCAAGCTGCAGGGGGGAAGGGAGAATAAGACAAGAGAAGAAAGCTTTGTTCTGTGTGAAAGGGAACAAGCAGAACGCCCAGCACATAGAGATCGCCGCTGCCCAGGGCACAGTGACCCACAGGAGCAGCCCTGGGAGACTGAGAGGACACGGGGCGCAGCAGCAGCCCTGCCCAAGGGAAGCAGATGTGCTTAACGGATTTGTCATGAATTGGGGGAAGGGGACCACCTCTTGACACACACACACACATCACAAAAGTGCAAGGAACCTGGCTTTGCTGATTCAGGGGCTAAACCTGCTGGGTGGGATCTGGTCATGTTGAAAGTGGGGGCGGGGCAGAACGAGCTGCCCTGACCCATGGAGTGCTTCTGCGCCCAGGAGCTCGTCCTTTCCTGGCAAGGTGCCGGGACCTCAGATGGAGGGTGTGGAGGTGTCTACGGATGGATGGAGTGGCCATGGCCGTGCCAAGTACCCTCCGCATCTGCCCTCTCACCCCCGCGGGGAGTTGATGAAGGGCTCTTCTGTCCCCTTCCTGGGTCCTGCCAAAGGTAGTGGGGACACAGCAGAAAGGAGCTTCCTCCAAAGGGAGCAGCGGCCCACCCTCTCACCCTGCCAGGAAGTAGCGCTGGGGATCCCAAGGAAGAGAGAAGGAGAGCTGGAAGCAGGTTTCCCCGTGGCTTCGCAGGAGGCGTAGAACTACGCGGGGTAGGTGCTGGGCAAGCCGCAGCGTTCATCGCGATCATTGCGCAACAAACGCGCCCCGATGTGTGGGAGAGCGTCCACACCCGCCCCATCCCGATCCCCACCTCCACGTCAGGATGCGCAGGCAAAGGAAAAGGCCAGGGCTTCTGATCTTTCTTTCCAGGCCAGCAGTCAAGGAAAACACATTAAGAAGGGATTTCTCTGTGCCGGGCACGGTGCTACCTGCTCCAAGGGTGTCCTCTCTTTCAGTCCTCTCAGCAATCCACCTTAATTCCGTCAACTTCCCCCATCGTGCCCCTCACCTCTCCCCACCTCCGCCCCCAGCCTCTTCTTGAAATTTATTCTGAGCGCTGCATGCAGCCCTCTCTATCCCTGCCTCCTGTGAGCACTGAGAAGCCTGCATTTGCCAGGGAGCAGACATCCCAGTCAGCTGGCGTTTACCCGTGCCTTTCTTGTCCTTCTCTCCGTGCAGACTGTAAACTCAAGGACAAGGACCATGCCTCTTTTCTGCCAATCAAAGCACACAACTTTATTGATGATACACACAGATGCGGGCTTGGGTGGAAGAGGTTAAGTCGGTACAATAGACAGAAGAGCAGTACACTTTTTTGATGATTAGGTTCACCATTCATCAGGCGCGTGTAGAAGAAAGGGTAAACGAAAAATAATTCAACCTAAGCTGCAACAAATGCATTGTTAGCTCAAGCTGCGGTACGCGTCTGGTCTCTGCAAAGCGGTCCCGCTTGGGCAGGGAGACCACCACAGGCAACAATAGCACTCGTGATGCTGTAATTTGATGTTCTTTGTCCACAGCAGGCAGCCGAAGTGATCCCCTCACCTCGTGAAGGAGGCTGCCGGGAGGAATTTACAATGCCAACATTGCCTGCAGCCTGCACAACCAAGAAGTTACTCAAAGCTCTGTGGGAGCCCCTGCCTGGCCAATAAGAGCGTGGTCCTGGATTGAGCGCTGGAACTTTCACCCAATGAGGCGGTGATTGGCTAAGGCTGGATCTTCAGTGACACCCTCTGCAGATTCTTTGACATCTGCAAACCAAGCGCGTTTTGAGTGGAATCGGTCCCATTGTGTTCGAGAGGGCCCTTTATAGGGCAGGGGTTTCCAGGAGAATCTCTCTGTTTCCATTTCTGATAAAGAGGGACATGAATGAGAAGAGCATCTGGGCACCGACTAACTCCCCCGCCAAGACTGGCTTTTCAGACAAACCCATCAGCGGTCTCAAAACCTGAACCTTAGCACATCCACTTTCCTCTGATATCAAAGGAAACTTCAAGTCTGAAACGGACTTGGCAAGCATGTTATTAATAACTGTCATGCTTATTAACAAATTTAATGCGGCCTGCTGCAGAAATGAGTTGCAGCAACGTGACACAGTCTCCCGACACACTTCATCGATGTACATCTTAATCTGGCCCTGACTTTCAATACTGGCATTTAAGTTATCTGGGGCACACAAAGCCTCTCTAACCGCGGGGTCTGGAGTGGGGATCGTGTGTCTGACCATTGAGAGGCTGGCCAAATGGCTGTTGATATTCTGGCTAAAGGGAAACGCCTCCTCCTTGATCTCGGCAAACAACAGTTTTCCCTGAATGAAAAGACACTTGGCGAGGTCAAGAACACAACCGCCATTTTTACAGTTTTGAGCGTACCCGGAAAATTTTTTATTTTCATTGGGGAATAGGTGATTCATTTTTATTTGGATGATTTGCTTTGGGGGAGGCTGTGAGTCTTTACTGTCCATGATTATTGGCAGGCTAATCCTTAGGGCTTGGCTTATCCTCAACTCTTGACTGCAGATCAGGGCCCTTACCTGTTTTCTCCACTGTCTGCAATTTCCCCACTCTTTGCTTTTCTTGCTTGGTTGAACCTTCTTCTGATAAATAGATGAATACTGTGTCAACTTCTAGACCAGACTTACATATATGCTTTCACTAATTTGTTAATTTGAATATATCTCACATTTATTGCAAGTCACAGATGGGCATCACTCTTAAAAAGGTGATCTAGATGTGGCGTTCTAGGAAGGAGATTGTTAGATATTCTTTGCCTGGTCACAATCAATCTAATTGCCATCAAACATGGACCTAGCAGCAACGCAAACACGTAGAGCTTTTAGATGAGTCTCCCCAAAGATACATGTCAATGCACAGGATACAAGGGTATCCATATCTCTTTTTCCATATTTATAGTCTTGATTTTATTTTTTGTTTTTAATAATGTATTTTTTATTGCATTTTAGGTTTATAGTCTTAATTTTCAAATGTTTCCCCTCTGGCATTTTACCTCCCTCAAGCTCATTTACACTGTTTTCCCAGAAGTGCAGCATTTATCTTTTTCCAGCACCAAAATAAGAGGAGAAAAGAATAAAGGCTGTGAGAAGCAGAAGCTGAATTATTTCTGGACTCCGTAGTCTGCCTTTGACACCTTGGTCCCACTTTTTGTCTCCAGCATATCACACTGTGTGAAGCAATTTCTTTCCTCACTGACTTAGCTTATTGTCCACAGGTACCATGAGAAAAGAGAACAGAGATTGGTAAAGGCACTGACTCATAAGTTTCAGGCACATCCACTCCAGAGTGAGGAATATAACTTTCCAAAGTCCCCCATTAGGTCTCAGGCACACCCATCTTCCCCATCCTGGCCTCCTGCTACTTTATCCCTGCCCCTTCTCCCATGAATTCCCACTTTTCTGCTATACCTCACCTCACTCCCCTTTTTGCTCTATAGATTTTGGCATTGCTTTCCCAGAGCCATAAAGGGTTAGGATTAACAGTTTTCTGAAAACAGGACAGGAGTAGAAGGGCAAGTACCGGTTTAGCACTTGTGTGTACCTCCGCCTTGTGACTGGTTCTGGCTCTACATTTCCTTGAAGGAATACATTGTTGCTTCAGTCTCTTCCAAGTAACTGTCTTCTTCCTTTTTCTTGAGTTGCACTGCCCCCTACAGACAAACAAACCAATATCTATCGGTAGAGTTGGTGAACACAGGGCTGGGTTCACCATAGTTGCTACTTTTTACTGATTCTGGACTCTGTCTCTCAAACATTTCTCACCTCTCACTCTCAGCTCCCCAACACCAACTTCCTCCCTGAAGGTGTGCACAATTTAGAGAACTAAAATAAGCTGGTGGGTGAGGTGAGAGTGTAGGGAAAGATGACTCTGTCCGGATCCTGACCCTAAGACTTCCCAGGCAATCCTCATTCTCACACCAACCGGCACACAACCAGAGCAGTTTCTTCTTTCTTCACTTGTCCGCAAACATGTCTCTCTCAGGTCAACAGCAGGGAGGTGATGGCTGGATCAAAAAGACTTGACTTTCCCACAGTTCTTGGTCACCTGAGATCATGAGCCATGGCTCATCACTAATGAGCCATGGTTGCCACCAGTAGTGATGCAAGAGTGTGCCTTCCTCTCTCTCTTCCCCGCAGCACACCAGACCTGTCACTCATTTTTTTTCTTCGCCAATCCTAGAATCCAAAAGAAAATGCATTACCATTTTATTAGAATTTTTTTTTCTCTGACTTCCAGAGACAAAACTTATTCTGATCCTTTCTTATCTTCTCCAGGAGCAACTGTCTCTTTGTATTTATACTTCTTTATCCTCATCCTAGAATGCCAGGCAACACTCCATCTCTTTACTTTCCCCTCCCCTCAGCAGCTAATATCCATCATCTTGCTTAGACCCATGAAAAAGCAGATTTCATGAAACAAGGCATGGAGAGAGAAATATTTTAATTATATTTTTCTTGGCTCTGCTCATTTTTCTTAGGAATAATGACTTTTTTAAAAGATTTTTTTATCCCTTTGTATGTAGAAGGAGTTTTCTGGAGTGATACTTGCTAGAATGACACCACTGGCTATTTCTGAGAATAAGATTTAAGGCAATACACATTCTAGCTGCAGTGTCAATTATTAAGGTCAGTGGGACATGGAAATGAACAGAGCTGTCTCTTGCACAAGACCATCTGGTTTTCCCAACAGGACCCCATAAGATAGCATTTGCCTTGCTGAGTTCACTATCCTCCAGGCTCTAACCCCTAATTTATTTTTCGAGTAAAAATATGCACAATTTATGACATGAGAAATGCATTGCATGCATATATTAACCAAATAACATGTATAACAATGTTTATAGCTGCACTATTCATAATAGTCCCAAGCTGGAAACAACCTAAATATCCATCATCATTAGAATGGATACATAAAATATAGTACATACATAAATGTCAATGAATAATCTACATGCAATAGTATGGATTATTCTCACAGACAATGTTAGCCAAAAAAAGACATAAAATAATATATAATGCACGATTCGATTTATGTAAAGTTTTTTTTAATGCAAAACTATCTATGTTGTTAGAAGTCAGAATAGTGGTTACCCTTGGGATGTATTAGTGACTAGATGGAGGCTTGGAGGGAGCTTCCAGTGTGTGGTGAATGTTTATTTCTTGCTCACCTTGTGAAAATGTATTGAGCTCATTACTTGTGCACTTTTCTGTATATACAGTATACCTCAACAAAAGTTTACTAAAAGATCGCAATCGTGAGTTAGAAAAATGAGAGGTAAAGTGGCCAAGATGGCCAATTAGAAACAGCTAGGGTGGATGGCTCTCATGGAGAGAAACAGAAGGGGTGAGTAAATAAAGCACCTTTAACTGAAACATCCAGGTACTTGCACTGGAACTAGTCAAGGAAACAACTTGACCCACGAAGAACACAGAAAAGTAAAGCAAGATGGCGGCCCACCTGGGAGGGACACGTAGCCAAGAGAAGCTCCCCCTCCTAGGGAAGCGGTGAGTTAATGTACAATGCCTCTAACACTGACCTTTGCCACCCTTGGGTCAGAAGAGGCCCTCAGGAACCCACTCCACCAAGGCCTTCAATCCGACATACAGAGCTCTGTAGAGTCTTGGCAGAGCAGCCACTCAGGCACACGTGGAGACCAGGGAGCTTTAAATACTCTGGCTCTGGGCTTCCCAGCAAAAAAGTAACTGCAACTCCAACAGAGTAGGAGGTTAGACTTACTACCACCCCTAGGAAAGAAGCTGAATCCAGGGGGCCGAGCAAGGATGGTCTGCAGGCCCCATGTCCAGGGCATTTCACAGTATAAAATCCACTGGCTTGGAATTCCAGCCATTCATCAGTAGCAGTGTGGCACCTACCTAGGATGGAGCACCCAAGGGGAGAAGCGGGCCTTTATCTTTGCCGTTTGGGTGACATAGCCATTCCAGCCTGCAGGCTTTGGAGAGTCCAAACTGACCAGGGGCAAAATGGATCCCCCAGCACAGCACAGCGGCTCTACCAAAACATGGCCAGACTGCTTCTTTTAGTGGGTCTGCAACCCGTTCCTCCTCACCTGGGGAGAACTCCCAAATGGGGCCTTTAGCAACCCCTGCTGGTGTCCTCTGGCCAACAGAGATTTGAAAACCCCCTGGGACAAAACTCCCAACGGGAGGCGTGGGCTACCACCTTTGTTGTTGGACATCTTGGCAGTTCTAGCTTTCGAGCTTTGGTGTATCTGAAGCTACCAGGGGCAGAAATGGTACCCTAGCACAGCACAACAGCCCCACAAAAACGTGCTCACACTGCTTCTTTAAGTGAGTCCCCAGACTTGTTCCTTATCACCAGGTAGAGCCACGCAACCAGGGTCTTCGGCTACCCACACCAGTGTTCTCTGTCTGACAGATGTTTCAGGCCTCCCTGGGACAGAGCTCCCAGGATGAAAGGCAAGCCACCATCTTTGCTGTCCAGGTGACTCAGGCATTCCAGCCTTCAGGCTTCAGAGTGTCTGAGATGACCAGGGGCAGAAGTGTGCCCCCAGTCCAGCACAGGTGCTCATCAAAAACATGGCCAGACTACACTTTTAAGCAGGTCCCCAATCCCATTCCTCCTGAATGGATGAAACCTCCATCCGGGGTCACCAGCTACCTCCTACAGGTGCATTTGGGCCAGCGACAGTTCTGTACCTCCCTGGGATGGTGCTCTCTGATAAAGGAGCAGGCTGCCACCTTTGCTGTTTTGCAACTTTCACTGGTGATACCTTCAGGTATTGGAAAATCGGAGGTGACCAGGGATTGGAGCGTATCCCAGCATACTGCAGCAGCCCTACAGAAAAGTGGCCAGACTGTTAAAAGAAAAAAAAAAATCCAAAAGTCAGAAACCTCAAAGATTGAAAGTAAATAAGCCTACAAAGACAAGAAAGAATCAATGCAAGAAGGCTGAAAACTCAAGAAGCCAGCAGCCAGCATGCCCTCTTTCCTCCAAACGACCACATCACCTATCAAGCAAGAGTGAGGAAACAGACTGATGCTGAGATGGCTGAAATGATTAAAGTAGAAATCAGAATATGGATAGGAATGAAGTTCACTGAGCTAATAGTGTATGTTGTAACCCAATGCAAGGAAGCTAAAAATCATAGTAAAACATTGCAGGAGATGCCCAGGTGCGGTGGCTCATGCCTGTAATCCCAGCACTTTGGGAGGCTGAGGCAGGTGGATGACTTGAGGTCAAGAGTTCAAGACCAGCCTGGCCAACATAGGAAAACCCTGTCTCTTTTAAAAATACAGAAATTAGCTGGCCATGGTGGTGCACACCTGTAGTCTCAGCTACTCAGGAGGCTGAGGCAGGAGAATCACTTGAATCCAGGAGGTGGAGGTTGCTGTGAGCTGAGATCATGCCACTGCACTCCAGTCTTGGCAACAGAGCAAGACACTGTGTCAAGAAAAAAAAGAAAGAAAAA